ACGGTGTATAATTTACCTTTTCATCATTACAACTTTAATTAGATAATTAATTCCAAAATACAATAGGAAAAAAAATAGTACTTGGTTGGGTGACCTGAAATTTATACTTACCTAACTTTTTTAAAATTCTTTTTTAAGATACTCCAGTAAATATAGAGCTTATAAATGTTTTTTTTTTTCTTTCCATTTTTAATCCGCCTAGTGTGACCCATTACCGTCTACCCACCGCAAAAATGCTTTTAAAAGCATCTGTAAGCGGATAAGCACCCATTTTTGTTTATGTTCCCGACGGTTTTTTGTTTTTATTTTTGGTCGCGTCGTTGTAATTATTGTCGTTACGGCCTTTTTTGAGTCTTAAATAACCTAACATCAGACTTTTACTTTTAGTATTGATTCTATATAAAGTGAATGCTTTACGATAAGTTACAAAATTCTCGCGCGCTGATTGGTTAGTTTTAATCATTAAAATAGGACAGACAGATAAAGCTGACTTCTAGGCAAGCGCGCGATCTTTCCGTTGGCTGTTTTGATCTCTAAAAATGAGAAGTTTTTATCGACCGTTTTTGTTATTGTAAAAAAAAACCAACCAAACAAACAAACAAAAAACAAAACAAATAGACATCAGCTTTTTTAATGTCTGTCATTTTATTGACGAAGAGATTTTGTCATCGATGACGCAATTTATCGTCAATAGAGAGTTTTAGATTTACGCTCACGGCAAACGTGAAACGTGAGCTGACCAGTGAAAAATTCTTTTAATTTACTAAAAACGAATATCAAAAAAATCCAAGTAGTAGAAAAATGAAAAAATATTTGTGTGTGGAGAGAAAGTTTGCTAGAAGTAAAGTAAAATACAGGAAAACGATGAAAACGTGGTCGTACGTTTGGCGTTTGCGGGGAGAAAAAAGTCAATCTAAAACTCTCTAAATAATGGGACGGACACCTAAAAAACAGGTGTCTATTTGTTAAATACATAATATCAAACTTATTATTATTCTTAAATTCATATTTTTTCTTTTTAACTTAATTTGTAGGAAGTCCGTAATATAAACTACTGAGCTACCAGTAGTCTATATCTACCTTTAGACTTCGGAACCATATGTAGGCCTCTAAAAGAGCATATACATGCAGTACACATCTATTCTTCGTCGTTTGAATCCGAAATTAGCCATCTAGCTCTAGTTCTACGGATATTGTACTTTGTCTTACTACCGCGATAAGATATTGAATACTAAAGATTTTGAGATTTTATGCCCAACTCTTTTACTACC